AAATCCTAGTGCACCTTTCTCTTGCTTGTCACCAAGTCACATGGTTCTGCCTTTAGTGTCCTGTTATTCTTTTCTTTTTGATTTCTTCTTTTTTTTTTCTGGCCATTTCAATCAAATTCTTTTCCAGTGAGTAAAGAGGTTTCTCAGAACCAGAAATCACTTTAAAAAAAAACCAAAAAAACGATGGACCCTACCCATGGAAAAGTCCAGACATTTCTCTAAATATTTTGTGCCAAATTTCCTGCCTTTTTCTTTCTTTTTTTTTTTTTCTTTTACAATTGGATGATTTCCACATTAGCATTGTTGGGTGGCTGAATATCTTTTGCAGTTCTTACATTCTCTTCCGTAGTGCTTCCATGAGCCCGTACTCTTGCTTCTTTCTAAATTAAAGAATTCTTTCAGAAGGTTTCTTTTCAGAGTTGTCACAAGAGAAGGGCAACTTTCCTATTCTAATCTCCAGGGCGTTTCAGGCCGTATGTGCGACTACCTTTCCCTTTCCTTTTGTTTGCCTTTGCAGAGACAGACCCAACCTGGTGGTCTTATAGCTTTTCTGCAGGTTCTCAGATGCCTCAGCCAGGCTTCCAAACTTATTAACTACACACCACATGCTTAACACAGAGGGGAGGCTCAGAACATTCAGATTTATCTCATTCCTCATTTGCCGAGAGCACTAGTATTTATGGGAATGCTATGGGAAAGCCTCAATAAGAAATCATGTTGTTGGGGGGGATCTGAGAGATTTTTGCAAGGGGCACACCTCAATTTTAACTTCTGCGATAAGAGAAGACACTGATTTGGGCCATGGGCAGGACAGGTACCGCTGGTGGCCTAGTGTGATGGCAGTGCATGTGGTCAAGGCATTAAGACTTGGTATAAAATCCACACATCCAGAAGAGACTTTCTTTTTGTGATCAGAATGCAGAAATTCTCACCATTCAGAGGCTGGAAGGGGATTTTCTTAGTTCTTTTAGGATTTTGTAATGATACAGAATAAGATCTCTCTGATTTTTAAGTAAAGCAAACTCGAGTCTTTCTGCGGCCAAGGGTTGCTCTCATCTCCAAGATGCCCCGGAAGAAGGCGGGAGTGATCTCTAGTTAGAATGTGAAGTGGGAGTTATCTACACCACTTACTCATGGCACAGACTCAAAGCATCAGGAATCTATGGGAGGAAAACATCTATAAAGATGTTACTGGGATCTGAAGTGAACAATTCAATTAAAATGATTTATAACAAGCATTTGGATAAAGAAATTTCCATTTTAGATATTTCTACCTGGCTTCTCAATTTTTTTCCCCATATACAGATTTGTAGCAGATCCATGTGATTCATTTTCTTCTAAAATATGATACACATTTGGGAGCTCATTTTTCTACACATATTGACATTTAATAGAGGGAAAACTGTCCACTATGCTGATGCATTACAAATGCTTTTGTGCTAGAACATTCTACTTTTCATAAACTGTCGAGGTAAACATTCTCTTTTGATTTTCTTCTTCCTTCTTCACTTAAAATTTTAAGTGATAAACTGCTAAAAATCTGCTTTCTTCCATACCTGTTTTAGTTCCCTACACTCATCCTAAAGGTCCTAAATCTGGAATATTTTGCTTCCATTTTTTTTTCCTGCTGAGAAGAATTATTTCAATGGCATTAACAGCACCCTCACAGGACAGCATAAATTAAAGAGGATTGCAGGGTTCAACACTCCCAAACAAAAGGGATCCATGTTCATTCTCTGATCTTGAAGCAAAATCTGTTTCTCTGTATCATAAGATGTTCGTGATTGTTTCATTGTGATTGGAGCATGGCACTCTACCTGCAATTCCATCCTTCTGAAATAGGTAAAGACTTATTTATTTTCTAAAACCGGGGTCAGTGTGGAAAGCAGCCTTTTCAGAAACTAGACATGTAACAATAGCTTCACAAAAACTTTGCTCCCCTCTCCAATCAAGCATCTATCTGTCTCCAGAGAACAATTCACCAGTTGTTTTTGGTTGTGAGAATTTGCGGGGGGAGGAACACACAGCAGGAACAATTCCACAGATAGGTGAATCTGCCTGTATGTTCTGTTACGACCTATAATTGTTTTATCACCTCACCATGAATTAAGGGACCTTCCAATTTTGTGGTTGCTGTCTTGAATTAACACTTCCTCTATAGAAACAATAAATACCAGGGTTCCAAATCATCGGTAGCAATTTTTTTTTCCCTTCCAAATGTTTTACAGCAAAAGGTGAATTTCAACCCTTGTTTAGCTTTTTCATATGACAAATCAGCATTAAGGCAAATGAGTCTCCCTTAGATTTTGGAAGGAAATAAGTAAATGTATGATTAATACTGATATCCAAAAATCAACATTTCTGGAGGTATTGTGAGTTAGGCCTACTTTGCTAAGCTATTACCCGCTGCTTTCGAAGAGCTGGCAACCTGTTAAAGTCATTTTTGGCCTTCTTTCATTTTTAATATGTTCTGAGTGATTTCATATCATTTTTTCTACCTTAAAATGTGTCCTTTTATGTGTCAATCCTTTTAAGGGTCCAATGACTTATTTTGCAAAGTATCGCAACAATGCTGTGAGGTGGCTAATGCTCCCTCTATTGGTAGTGTAGTGGATATTAGAGTCTTAACACTGACAAAAGCAAAATCAGTAATAGAAAAAAATGGACTTACATATTCTGAAGCTGTTTCTCACTGACTTTTAAAACAAGTCACTTTTAGACATACATTGCTTGGTAGGATTCCTTTTAGAAATCAAAATGAGTGATTCTTAGTAGTCGGTTAGCCATCTGAGTATATTAAAACTTCCAGCAAAATACCCGCTAAATTAAGCACTGTAGGAACACATCAAACCCACAAATACTCCAGTTGCATGAACCTTGCTAAACATCACAGAGACTTTATGAAAAAGATTCAGGCTAACGAAGTGACTAAAATATATGAATGAAACCAATGTAGTCATTATAGAGTTTTTGCCTTGGAAGATTTCCCCTTGTTGGCTGTACAGTTTTTGCAAATAAAATGAGTATAGGAATAGTAGAAGGAAAACTAAATTAAAATTTAAAGTGATTTTGAAACTATTCTTTTTTCTTCTTTTACAAATTATAGTTTGTTATTTCTGATTTGCTGAAAGATTGGTTTTTCCCTTGATGTGTGCTAACACATGCTGAGCAACAATATCACGTTTGGTGCTCTAGCTGGGGTTCAGAATCCCTCCACTTGAGTTGGCATGCCTTCTAGACACTATCTGTAATGGAAAATCTCAATTATGATGCCTTGATCAGGACCGAGGAGAGAAATCCCAACTAGGAAGAGAGAGTGGCAGCCGGGATGGAGTCATAGATGGGTGGCCTTTTGAATGCTGGATGTTGACAACTAGGAAATTTTCGTGAATTTCCCTAAAGCCTTTCCAATAAGTAATGGTTAAATACATTATCTAAAGAATGGTCATCTCACTTAGCCCTCTTTATGATGATGGAAATAGTCAGAAGGTGCTATAAGAAAGTAATTTTGGCATTGATGCATCTTGGTCTGTAACAGGCTTCTCATCATGACATTTTTTGTAGCTGTGGAGGGTGAGGAGCCGAGGCAGAGTTTGACAGCTCCTCATCCTGTTTCACCACAAAAGAAAAGAATCCTTTTGTTAAGACCTCTATACTACTAGTGTTCATCAAAGAAAAAAAAAAGTCAATAGAAGTCCTAGAATCATCATATCGCAATGAAATTCTGGAGAATCAAGAAATATGTTTCTGAAAGATACAGTCCCTCCCATGAGAAAGAACAGAACTCTAGATGGATCAGCAAACAACAACAACAAAAATTTTTCAGTGGAGCAACTTAAGCTTGCTACAATTCAAAGAACTACATATCAAAATACAAAGCAGCAGTTCAAATTACAGCAGGGATGGGCAGGCCAGAGAGGCCCATCAACCCAGGCAATACTTAAAATAATAAAAATTAAGAAAAATAAAAAAAATATAAAGAAAATATCCTTCCTCTCTTTCAAATATAACTTTAGTTGCCTTTTATTCTTTCTCTCTGGAAGCAGTATCGCTAACCTTAACAGTCTTGACTTACCAAAAAATATATATATGTGTGTGTGAAATAAGAGAAGGGATTGGTGGCAGTGTATGCAAAACCAAAATGAAAAAAGAATTACTTTTAACATCTCATTTTTTTGTTTCTTTTTTTACACAAATACTGTTGTAAATATATTAAAAAAATCAGCATTCTATCTGGTAAACGTCACTTTTGCCCCTCTATAAAATTTTGAATTAAAAAAGCCTCAAGAACTTTTTGTTCCCCCCACCCTCCATTTCTCTTTCTTTTTCTCTTCCACAAGAATATATCCTGACACTTCTTCTTCTTTTTTTTTTTTTTTTGCAAAGATTGTTGGAAATAATCTTTCTCTTGTACCTAGAAACATAGGTGCAAATCTCTGATATCTTTGTTTTATCTGCATTCCTGCCTTTCATGAAAGTCCCTCTTGATTGTGCTGAGGCTGTGGCTCAGCAAAGACACTGAATAAATACGATAGCCACTGTTGCTTGTTGCTTGTCCAAGTCATCTTGGCTTCTGCTGGGGGGTGGGAAATGGGATGTGAAGGAGGTGGGCCACGGTGTGTGACCTCAGGCAGAATCTGCGGAAGAAGCTTACCCTTCCATTTTCTTTCCCACATCACCAAACCCACTGCTCCCTCCCACTCCCACAGCCCTTTTGTAAAATCAGACGAGGTGGTTGGTGGAAAACAGCAGGGCCTTTCCTCTGGGTTTTCAACCAGAAGGGATATTCCACAGTTTTGACTGATTACTGTCAAGTCCAAGCGGCCAGCATTGTGAAAATGTCCACTGAAACACTGCAAGCGGTGTACTTAAAGACAGTAGGCCTTTCAGATTTTGTTATATATTTTTGTAGTGCTCTTCACAAGTGAAAAAAAAATTTTTAACTTTTTTAAAAGACTTTTTTTTTTGTTTTTTTTTTTTTGTTGTTTTTTGTTTTTTGGAAAGAAGGGTTGTATTTAGAGGCCAGTAGCTAGAGATCCAACCAGTGGACCTCCTGAAGCACTACCAGGCCTTAAGGCCACCATCCGATGGAGGCTGGGAAAACTATGATTCACCCGAGCCTCCGGAAATGTAATGTACCAGCAGGCAAAAAACCAGTCCTTCATGTAGTACAAAACGAAATGAAACAAAAACAAAAACAGAAAGTAAAAATGAAACCAAAACATTTCTTAAATTCTAGTGCCATAGCTTTTTTTTTCTTTTTCTTACTTTTGCTTTTTTTTTTTTTTTTTGTAGTTTTGTTCATAAGAAAGAGAAAAAGAGATTACTTATCCATCAGACACATGCATCCTCATGTGGTCGTTGAACTGCTCGATTTGGTCAAACTTTGCTGGGCAGACGGAGCAGACGTAAGTGGTCCCCTCCGTGCAGGCCACCACGCCTGGGGGACCAGCGCGAGCACCCGGGGGTGTGCCTGTGGGAGGGGTCCCATTGCTGGCACTGTGCAGGGCCACGTGTCGCTCCAGGAGGGTCTTGTGGGAGAACTTCTTTTTGCAGATGTAGCACTCGTAGGACTTCTCCCCCCGGTGGAGGCGCATGTGCACGTTGAGTGAGCTCTTCTGGGTGAAGCGCTTGTTGCAGATACTGCACTGGTATGCCCTCACACCTGTGTGTGTCACCATGTGCTTGATAAGGTAATCCTTTAAGGAGAAGGAGCGCCAACAGATGCTGCATTGGTGGGGCTTCTCACCTGTTGACATAGGAAGAGATGGCAAGCAAGACAGAGCGAGACATAGCAAGGAAGGGAAAAGGAGAGACAGAAAAACAAGACAACAAAAAAGAAAAAAAATGTTTACAAATAAGACCTGATTGTTCAGTGGATCATCCTTGATTGGAAAGATCTGGTCTTCCTAGCCTCTCATGTTCAAGGAAACTGCTTTAAAGGTGATGCCAGAACAGTCTAGAATATTCCATTTCCCCTGCAGCTAATGGCTCTGTCAGAAAGCTACAGGTTATTCCCCTCCCTGCATCCCAGATCTTCAAAAGTAATTCATTTGATGGTGAAAAAAGGAAGGACTATTTTTCTTAAGGTAGTCATTTTCAGCATCATCATTGATTTAGCCATGCTTCTTATTTTCTTTATCAAACAAGTATGAGCGATATCAGAGAAGGAGGGGGTCTTTGGAGACACGGAAGTCCCTAGAATTTTCAGGAACTAACAATATTGGTTTATAGCTTGGTACTTTGGGAAGAGTCCCCATTTCCAGTATTTTGTCTACTAATGTACCCATAGGTAGATTCTAAGTCTAGAAAACACGTGAAGAAACAAGAATATGTTGTTCTGAAGAATTAGGCTTTTACTTTTATTTCTCCTTATACAGAAATTCTCCTAAATGTCATCTAAGATTTTATTGGCTGTATGCACAGGGCTGTAGCATGGGTCTCCCGAGGTGTGGAGGTTGAGTATGTAGTGGACAACATGATGATTTGATAGTTGTCCTGGGCAAGTCTAGGCATTTAGCCCACTCAGACCAGTCAGCACCTGTACACGGCTCTACTTACCTTACTGTGCCGGTGTTGACACAAAACACAAGGAAATCACTCTGCAGACCACCATTTTCACTACAAGGTGTTTCCCCGCCACCCCATATTAAACGGTTCCATATGCTGTTTTGAACTCTTGAGTCAATTTTTGAACTAGCTTTTGTCGTTTTCTTTTTCATAGCCTGTTAGTAGAAACCTTCCTTTCTCCTTTGTGTATTGCTTAGGCTTGAAACCTAATGATCAGTGAAACCTAATGAAATCCAACCTAGCTTAGAAAACCAATGATCGAATGAAAGTAAGAATACTTAGTAAAGTAAAGCCACTCAGTCAACGAATGGCAGTGTGCAGTATTCTCTCAGGAGTGCTCACAAGCCTGTGGTGTCGCCTTGGGCAATTACTTCAAAACTTGTTTCTGCTTGTATTGTTTCTTCCCAGCTCTTGATGGTGAAATAAACAATGGAATAAAAGCTCTTGACAATCAGAGTGTGGAGTTTGGCCAACATCTCTCACACCATTATTAACTGCCCAAAGTAAGCGCCCACTTTGGAGAAAAAGTCCTTTCCCAAAGTCTTTCACCTACCCTGCCTAGAAACCAAAGCTGTTGAAATGATCTAGGGTGATATTCTGACATTTAATTTATGCATCAGGTAAGGAATCAGCTCTCAAATTCAATTTAGCATTCATTTAAAATGTGTGCCTGGACTGCACCTCCATGTTCTCCTCTATGACAGAGAAGTGGTTTGGGGTGTCCTGCTAATGGTGGCACTGGAAACAATACCAGATAGGAAACACTAAATGTGTGCCAGGTTCAGTGTTAACTGCTTCACATTCATGATCCATTTTTAAAGAAATCACTCTCACTATAAGCCATTTTTGGTGTGTTTCAAACATAAATGGCTATGTTTTAAAGCACACTGTTGGGACAGCTTGGTGTTTAAGATCACAGGGTTACGAGATAAGAATTTGCCTTTTAGACTTCAGTAGGTGAAGTCTATGATAGTTTGTTACTAATCTGTTTGCTGAAGAGTTCACTCTATGCATACTGTTTATGTTGGAACATATTTTGGAAATGAGAGATTTCCTAAGAGAGGCAGTCATGCATATAATTTTTAGTTGAAACACTTTTGTTAGCTGTAAACATGCTTGGAACTCAGCTGGTCTTGTCTATCCTTGTGCTTCCAGTATAATTTATAGAGGCTGTGATTGGCCAGCCAACTATCCTTGAAAACACGTCCACCTGTCACCTTTCACGGGAAGGATGCCTTAAATTCCAGATGGTATTTGTAGTTGAATATTTCTATGTTAAAATGTCCTTGTTATTTGAAACTTTCACCTTCGCACTGTGTGTTTTCCCTCTCAGCAAGGTCGCCACTGATGAAGACATTTTGCTTTCACACCCTTTTAATAGGATGATAAATTGATTCTTTGCAGGTGTCATCTTTCCCTTCATATATATGTTGTTTGTATATATGTAGTATTGGTTTTGCCTTTACTTATGCAAGTGACCCCAGGCTTCCTAAGAATTTTCATTTCTCTGAGCTTGTTGCATGTTCTGAAAGTGAGGGGCTAGACCAAACACTTGCTACAAGCAGAATTAGTGGTCATTCACTCCTGATGCCTTCCTACCCCTGGAGGACTCCATTCTTGCCCTTATCAGCAAAGAACCCTGGAAATATCCTGTGCAACTCCTCAATGTGTGAGTAGTAGCACATTTTAAATAGGACAAGTTATCCTGTTCCTTTACCTGCCAAAGAAGCAGTATGACAGTTAATGAGCAAAAGTGTTTGTATAACACTTGGAGTGCTTAAAGAAAATTTAATGAAAAGCAAAGTGAATTTTCCATGAACTTTTTGAAGCACTGTTTAATTCATTCCAGTAGGAATGTTAATATTTTTCTTTCCCTTTATTTTCCTGCATTTTAGTTATACCAGTCTGCAACAGGCTTGACACTATACTGGTATATGAAATGGATGTGGCTTGCTGACGACTGCTCTCCAAGTAGAAGTAAATGGGTAGAAGATGGCTTAGAAGCTTTGAATCCACAATTATAAATGGTAAGTCTGATTTTGTAGAAAGAGACACAAAATATACAGTGGATACCTGAATTATAACATGAAGGGAAATCTCATATGAGTCTCTTTACTTTAAAATGATTCATTTCAGACCTATACAGATGCAGGAATCAGATACAGATACGAATTCCATTTCTTTGGCTGAGTAAATTGGACATGTTATTTAACCTCACTAAGCCTCAGTTTCCTTATCTGTGCTTTAACAATCATATAGAAAGCATCTGCCTTGTCAAGTTGTGTTGAAAAATTCAAGAGATAAAATACTTAGGAAAGAGTAAGTGGTCATTTTAAGAAAAATTTAAGCTTCTATTCAGCACAAAGGAACTGAGGATTAGTGAAGCCTGTTGAGAAATAACTTGTATGACATAGGAAAACCAACTCATAACTTAAATAAACCCAGTGTTTTAGACAATTAATAAAGCAAGTGATTACACGGCAACTATGTAACTCGGAGGTAAAAGCAGAGTCTACTCTCATGACATATGGTAATATAAAGAAATAGCATTAAGAATAGAATGCCAGCTGTAGCATAGGATTTCCTAGTAATCAAGCAGAAAGTGAAGAAATGGCATTGAGGAATAGAATGCCCTTTAATGCTTTTCCAAGGGCAGAAGGCTAGTGAAAGTATATGTTTTTTCTCCATTTCTCAGTGTCTGCTTTTCAACTCCTTCTGATGGATTTGCTCTGACACCTGTTTTAGTATGATTGAAAAGTAGGAAAAAAAATAAAGGAAAAGAGAGGAAGAAAGATACTGCTCAGGTTAGTAAATGCTGAGCGTTCTGCCTAATGCTGATAAAGTTCAAGTCTGAGTCATCTTAACGATTGCTGTTTTCAATAGCAACTTCTGGATTCACCCACAAGACTTTTCTTGGGCTGTAGAAAGGACAGCAGATGTTGCTGGCAGGTTGTTTTCTGGAACCATTGCCCTATCTGTGTCTCTGTAGTCTGCTGTAGCACAATGTCCTTGGGATAAGTACAGCGAGGGGTCAAAAAGCCAAGACTGGCAGTGGGAGGAGGGTGGTAGGTGGGGAGCGGTGCCTGGTTGAGTCAACAGGCATCAGGGAAGGAGGAGGAAGCTGAGCATGTGGGCTGAGGAGGTGGCCGCTGGGGAGGAAAGTAAAGGGTCCTGGAAAGTGTAGACCCTCTGCTCACAGAAAATCAAGATTGGATTGGAAAGTGGAAAGGTTCAATATTGACAACGCAAGTTGGAATGGAATCATAGGGAGCCATTGCAGCCATTTCTAGCCAGTGGATAGAAGATCTCTTTCCCTGTCTTTCCTTTTCTCTATTTCTATAAGTATGTCTTTCAAATAGAGAGAAATACCTATTTTTTCAAAAGACCCTGAGGTATGGAGACTGTCTGGTAGCCCTTCTGGTCAATTCTTTCTGTACCATTTGGGTCCAGCTTAGACTGCTATTGTCCAGGAGAGACAGCCTACTGGGACACACTGCAATTATTAAACATCTGTGGCTTTTGTGACAATAAAAATATATTTGCGGCAAGTAGAACTCAGAGAACTGCATTCTTATTACTTTATTTTATTTATTTTCCTTAAAGCTTCATGAATGACTATTAATATTCTCAGAAGACAGCATGACCAGTTAGAGAAACGTGACCATCTAGAAGATGACCCAACAAATCAATAATGGCTAAGACTATGAAATAGCCCAACCAGGCCATATTTCCTCCTATTCACAATTTCTTGTTCTTTGGATTGTGCTATAAAATACATGGTGATGTTTATGATATAAAACATACATTCATAAGATACATATTCCTAAATGGTTTTGGTAATCTTAACAGAACTTATAGTTAAGTGCTTTAACTTGCAGGGAAACCATATGGAGTAAATATTATTAAAATCTGAAAACTAAGGCTCTGATGGGCTGCAAAGTCTACCTAAAGTATCTCAGTCAGAAAGCAGTAGCAGCAGAAGTTGTGCTGCTGTGGATTAAGTTGCCACTTGGGTTCCCATATTCCATATCACAGTGCTTAGGATTGAGTCCTGCCCCTGTCTTCAATCCAGCTTCCTACTAATGTGCCTAGGAGGTCGAGAATGATGACTGGACTGCTTTGTATTATTGCTACCCATGTAGGATATGTGGATGACGGTCCAGGTTCCTGGCTTCAGTCTGGTCTATCCATCGCTATTGTGGACATTTTGGGAAAGTGAACCAATGGTTGGAAAATATCTCTGTCCTCTCTCCTTCTCTCATTTTACAACATGATAAATATTACATGAGACATACATATTCTAAAAATATACTTGTTGTTTATCTGAAAGTCCAAGTTAACTAGTCTTATATATTTTGGCTAAATCTGTCAAGTCCATGATTATAGGTAAATAAATAGTCTAGATGCCATCCTGGCCATTCTGATGATTATGTGTGCTAATGTGTTACATGCAGTACGGTAAGAACAAACAGAACATGGTATCTGAAATATGTTTAGCTTCTCAGATAAAATTTTTAATGTGTAAATATGCATAGTATATTATTCAAATATAAATAAACATCATAAACGATCTGCACCAGAAAATAAATAGACAATTTCATGGAAATAGATTTATGCATCTATTTGCAATTGGTCAGACACCACTAGAGAAGGATTTGATTCATTCACTGATCAAGTATTCATTGAATGCTTCTTCTGTTTAAGGTATCATGTTGGGTAAGTTGAAAATGTTTATGCATGTGTGTGTGTGTCCTTGTTTATCTGACTATTTCTGCTCTTTCTGCTCTCACTGAGTTTAATCCTCTTTGGAAAGTGCAACAATGCCCACATAATAGCAGAAGCCCACACTGCTATAATCCATCAGTACCTTTGCCAAGTACCCATGAAGACTGGAAGACTCAACTGACTGTTCTTATTCAAGAGATTGTAATGAATCTGCCACAAAATGAAGCCTATATTTATAATGGATTTATTTTTCAAAAAACACAAGTTCATATGAATATACTTTTAGAGAATGGTAAGTAACAAAAACTACTGGATGCTATCCACCCTCTAATTTCCAGGATCAGCCCTCTTGGGGAGTGATTCTTAACTGTATCAGGAATTAGGGCTTGTTAAAACACACATAGATGCTGGGTGCCAAGCATTCCTAATACACAGAATGTGGTGAACCAGGGTAGAGGGTACACAGGTGAGAATCTGCCAGTAGCTGATAAAGGGATCATACTGCTGTTAGCATATTTCTGAATGTCCCCTTTTGCTTTCTTTCCATATCCATGCTGACATCAATCTTTTCCTTTAAAAAAATCTCTTTTAAACTTTCCCTTTATTCCCATTCCTTTTGACATCTATTTTTTTTAGGAGGGGTGGGGGGACAATATAAAGGAGTCCTGCGTTGTTCCGTGACAAGATGGTTTGCATTATTTTTGCTTTTCCTCTAATTCTCATGCTTTCAAACATGTTCCTAACTCTAAGTTTCATTTCTTGCCACCTTTATGAAGCTGCAGTGTGTGCAATGAGAAACTTCTAGAGGTAATGAAATTCTATTATGGTTTGTTTGGCAATGGATAGGGAGTGATTAGGTGAAGGATTTTCTTTTGTTCCTATAAAAGAATGAAAAAAATTCTTATTATGAAAAACCGAGAAACCAAAGAGTATCACATTGCTTCAGCACTTGAATTCCACAGAGGAGGGAGACATATCCAAAGTGTATTATTCAGAGGTGGAAGACAGAGAAAAAACAAACAAAACAAAATAAAAAATAAAAAACAAAAACAAAACCTAATGTCTCCTAGGTTGAATAGATGAACATAATGGTGACTGTTGAGGTTTTTTGTTTTTGTGATTAAAAAAAAAAAAGTAAAATACTTCACTTTCCATGAAGAGCTCTCAACGTGCATCATACATTTATGGCTACCCAAAAGGGCAGAGAAATTATTATTCTCATTTTCCTTAATTATATCAAGTAACTATTTCTTGGTAAGATTTTTTTTGGTTTGATAATGGGTAGGACTACTAAGGCCCTCCTAACTATTTTAAGTCTTCCCAAGTACTTTGTACCATTTTTCTATACTAACATTTGGGTTCTTTGCTTTGTATTTATATCCCTTCCTGTGAGTTCCTGTAAAGTTGCGAGGCCATCACTTTTTGATGTTTTCCCAAGGAATTGCAGAGAACTTTGTTTAGAAATGTTGCTCTCAGTAGACTGAGGTCCTGAATTATGTCTATATGTTCAAGCTGCCTAGACTTGAAAATCTAGACCAACTGTTCTGAAACATTGCAAGGTAAAGGACTTACTTCTTCACTTAGATCAAAGTCTTAAAAGGCAAATGACCTTGTCAAGCTGTTCCCTCCAATGGGTCTGGAATGTAAGGTAAGAGTTTGTTTTAAATGAGATACTTGAGTGAGAGATGTGTGTGTGTGCATATGTATAAATTGTTTCCAGATGTAGCCACATGTCAATGCAAAAATATCCATAGTTCTCATGAAGTAGTCTGTAGACTATACTTTAGACTATAGACTATACCTTAGATACAATTCATATTTGTAAAATAACTTGCCAATTTAAAAATTCACTTTTACTGTAGATTTTTCAACTATGCTGTCTAGGCATGCAAACTTCTTGCTGCTTTTCACATGAAGACATCTATTTATTTGGGAGGATCCCAGAATTCTCTTGTAACTCCATCAGAGAAGTAGATTTATGTATCACAGAGATAATTTCTAGTAGTGCCCTGAAAATTTTATGCTGTGCATTTAAACCTCAGCTCAATATGCAATAGCGTGTGAATTTTACATTTGCTAGGTCTACTGGAAGAGATGCACAGAGAATGAGAGTAGATATGCTGATGCATCCAAGACCAGAAAAGTCAACTGTGGGAAAATAGACATTTCACAGATAGTTTCTTTTTCATCCCTACTCTAATTTGATGGCTTATAAGATAATCCTTCGGATGAGGAAAGGATATAAACTATGGCAGTACATTATACACCGTAAGTTGTCACACATGTAAAGGCATTATCATCTGAATAATTCAGCTACTAATGACAATATCCCTGATCTATGAAAGTTTTCTCTTGATTGATCTCATATTATTAGTGCACTCACATTTACCTCAAGTAAACACAGTGATTTACCACTAATTTTCTTCCTAAACTTCGTTGTGAGTCACTGACTTTATTTGAAGGTATTTAAAAACTATAATCTTTAAGACCAACTAATTCGTGTAAAGGCACACACAGTGGCTTACACAATGCTCGAACTGAAGTGGAAATGCAAAGAAACAAAGCTCATCTTGAGTACAGTTCTATTTCAGTCATTCACTTTCATGCTGGCTACCTAGGCTCCATGATTGGATCTCCTTCTCTTCCAATTTCCAAGTTAAAACTGTTTTTTGTTCTGTCTTTTGAATTTCTTCTAGTTGACACACGTTTCCTACTGAGATACAAAGATGTTTTGAGCAATTTGTTTTCACGGATCAGAATTTAAGTAACTTCCCTGGAATGTTACATGTCACTGAACCACAGTATTCTGAAACCAGAAGTCTGTCAGGAGAGGCAATGCTCTTAAGAACTTCAAATGTGATGATTACAATTGTGGCAGGTATTTTCAGGCACAAGAGAACTTATGTGAAGTCTTCATTATGTGTGTAGTCATTTGTCTGTAGGCCTAGCTATGGAGTCCTCATTGCCAGGCTAGCACAAGGCATCAGGAAGTCAGGAGAACTTAGCTCTGGAGTCAGAGTTCAGGCACATCTTGAGACTGGGTCCCCTCTTTAACCTTCCTACAGAAGGACCGCTTTTACTCTCCTTCAGTACTTAGAATCAAGGGAACCTGCCCCCTCTAGAAACAATCTCTCCCATACTGGAGCAGCTTTCTTCTTATACCTTAAGAAGCCAAGCAGAACAAACTTAATGTTCCTTCCTCCCAATCATATCAATGATGCTAACGATAGCTATCATTTGTAGTGTGCTTATGTACTATGGAAGGAACCTGAAGTAAGAAAAAACTAAGAAATTTGTCTAGGATGACAATGTATACTAGTGACTAAAGCCTGAAATTTAGGCTCAGCCAATTTGGTGGCAGTGCTCAATTCTAGATTATACTGCCCTTGCAGCACTTGACTATGACTTACAAAATGCTCTGAGTCTCTCCTCCTGCACTCATTCTCCGTAAAAAAATACCCGTCATCTTTGTCAGAGGAAGGGTACTTTCATCCTAAGAAAGGGGAATATCCAGAGCTTCTGGAACTGTCCTTATACATAAGGCTTTCAGTGGGGTCTCTAAAACCTGAAAGATACTCCAAACCTTCCCTTTCCCCTACCCATTCCGGTGTTCCCTTTCCACAGCCCAACTCACCTGTGTGTACAAACATGTGCTTGACGTAGTTCTGTTTGGCGGTGAAAGTCTTGTTGCAGAGAGTGCACTCATAAGGCTTTTTTTCGCCTTGCCCACTGGCTGTGCTGTGGCCTGCCGATGAGGCCAGGGGCTGTGGCGCTGGCAGCTGTGCAGTAAAGGTGGACAGGCCTGGCTGGGACACTGTCACAAACTGGGTCTGCTGGCCTGCCAGAGGCTGTGGCAGGCTGAAGAGGAAAGGCTTGGGGCCGCTGCCCGCAGGCTGGGTAGTGAAGAGGGCCGGCAGGTAGGTGTTGCCAGCTGTGCCAATGACCTGTGTGTTGCTGGTCAAGGTCAGAGGCATCCTTAGATTGCTGGTGAGGGTTTCCGTCTGGCGTAAGTAGAGCTGGGTACTTGGCATTGGCTGCCCAACAGAGGTGTTGACCGAAGGCTGCTGCAGGACGCTCTTGTCTGAGCTGTTGCTGACGGTGATGACTGTGTTGTCCATATCTACCTCGTTGCTTCTCTCAGGAGAGGACGCCCCTGTTTCTAGCTGATTCTGCTGTGGGCCGCCCTCAGCAGGGGCTTCGGTGGCCTGCTCGGGTTGGGCTGGCTCGGCTTGGCCATCCCGTGTGGTGGGCCCAAACTGCTGCTCCACTGAATCAGGCTCAGTACCAATGGAGGAGCTGACACCAGAGTCGAAGCTCTCGCCTTTAGGCTCGCTCTCAGTGCCCTCGGCCTGGTCGGTGTCTTCCGTGCACTCCTCGGATTCATTGCGCTCCAGGATCTGCACCCTTGGCTGCCCGTAGTAGTCATAGTCATCTTCCATCTCTTGCTTGATGTGGATGTTGCCCACAAGGGTCTGGATGCGCACCGGCCGCGGCTGCTTGCGGCAGTGCGTAGTCTCAGGGGTGGTGGACAGGTAGCGTTCCATCTGCTGTGAGCGCTCGTGGATGCGGGTGATCCAGCTGGGGTCTTCCATGTGGTGGTCGCGCGGCAAGCCGAGCGCTGTTTCGTGGTGGCTGACCACTGCACCGCTGTAGAAGGAGCGTTCACCGCTGCCATTCTGCATGGAACAGGCATAGAGCGCTGAGTAGATCCTGTCGACACTGTGCTGCGGGTGGCTCTGCAAATAGCCCGACTCTGTGTCACTGCTCTGGCCTGATGTGCCTGACTCAGGTGTACCCCGAGGTGTGTCCTGCCCCGAGTCTTGGATCCCCGGGAACACTTCGCCCACATTCTGTGACACGATGCGCGTGCACTCGTCAATGACTGTTTTGATCTGCAGGATGCTGGCGGCTGTGAGGATCTGCAGAGCTTCCGACTGCGAGACGCGCAGCACGCCGCTGTACATGAAGTCAATGAGCTTTTGCACCGACTGTACCGACACCACTGACGGGATCTCGATGTCGCTGTAGCCCAGTAGCAGCTTGTCCTGGAAGAAGGGGCTACCGGCAGCCAGCACGCAGCGGTGTGCGCGCAGCATGCTCCCGTGGATGCGCACCGTCACGTCACAGAAGTGGCCACGGTTGCGCTGCTCGTTGAGGGTCTCGAGCACGGAATTGCTGAAGTTGTGAAGATTGATGCTGTGAATGCGCTCGGTCATCCCCTTGCAACTGATGTCACCTGCAGCGCGGCAAGGCAGACACAAAACAGGCATGGGTCAGAGCTGGCCGGCTGCCTTCCTAAAATCCACGTGTCAGCGGAGCAAAGCTTATGGAACCCCAAAGCGCCCTCCTCTGTGGGGAGATAGACAGGCTGCAATGTGCAGAGCCCTAGGTGGGATGACCTAGAGCAACGAGGTCTGGCATTTTGCTCTAATTACAGATTCAGGTTCCCCGCTATTTGGGGAACGGATTCCAAATGGATCCCCGAGAGCCTTAGTGGAAGTAAAGTGGCCTAAAAGCCAGATGGGGTATCATCCAGCTATTCCTACCACTTTAGCAAAGAAACGAGAGGCCCGTGGGAGACTTGTTGGCCCAAATCCAAGTCCTGTGGGAAACTCCTCTCTTTCCATTTGAATGGCAAATGCTCAAAAACATACAATTCTTGGAAAATTCAATCCAATTGAATAAGTCTAACAGCTGCCACCATGCCTTTCAAATGAGAAATGGGTTATAGAATGTGAGCCTAATGAGAGGGGTACTGACCCAGGAGTTGGTTTTCTGAGTCTGCTCATGCTTCCTGTCATCTTGGACAACCTGAACATGCTCCTGGGTTGCAGTATGTGGTATGGGTGACCTTTCCATGGCATCAGGAAGGTCAGCATTGGCAGCATGGCCTTGGCAAGACTAGCGAATGACAGGTGACTGTATGGAGCACTCAAACTACATGCATCCAGTGCGATTAATAATTAGGCCCGATAGCAGATGTAAACCAGGGGTAGTGCAGTGGGCCTCAGTAAAAGGTGCTCTGTGCATTTGCTCCAGGGATGACCTGAGCAGCTCCTAGGAGGAAGCCCTGCAGAGGATGTGAATAATCTGACCCATAGCCATTCCTATATCAGAGCATAATGGTGGTAACATTTAGACCCAGATTTAGCAGGAAATGGGGACCCTATCTTAGGGCTTCCCTAATTTTCTACCTTGGCTCTCAAATGTCTCTAGAGTCCCTCTCTCCAAGTGCGATCCAATCAGATTCTTCATTCTTGCTTTTGCAGTTGAGAAAAGCCCAGTGGGTGGCCTATCTCATCCAAGTGTCCCAGTTACTGAAAGCTGGAGAAGAGACCCCAGATGTGGTCGCCTGCACGCAGCAAGAATGGCCTACCTACTTCCTCAGCTTCCTTTTCCTAAGAAAACAGGACCTGCTCAGGGAAGTTGGAGCTGACCTATCTCTTTCACCTTGCTTCACTGGATCATCTTGATGCTGTCAGAGCTGAATTTAATAAGTGCCATCAACTGGTAGGCTGACACTCAGTGAAGCACTAAGTTCCACCACAGAACTTCTGCTTCTGACCTCTATCAGTTCTCTTATACACCTATAATATTATATTATGTTACAGTTTCTTTTTCATCTAAGTAAAACAAATTCTATTTTTTCTGAGATGAAAGACTCATGGTTGATAGCCTGCAGGTACTGCTTGCACAATATGGCCCAAGGGCAAGGCAATAATTACCCAGGAAGAAATATTCCAGACTATTCAATTCCAAGTTCTAGCTGAGTCCTCCATGCATGTATGCCAATAGTAATAGTAAGAGCAGACATTATTTTAGAGCTTACCACATGTCAAGCACTGTTCTCACTAGCCTTTGTGTATTTTTCGTTTAATTTTTACAGCAGTCACAGGAGCATTTCTTACAAGTTCATTCCAAAAGTACTAGTATTAAAAACACTTTGCATGCAATTCAAACATTTTTGCACTACAATAAACTTTCTAATTCCATTTTCTGCAAACTGTGAAGTACCCTCATGTTATTATTTTCAGTTTACACACAGGGAAACTGAGGCCCGAGAAAACAGGAACTTGCTCCAGGTAACATGGGCAGTTAGTCTGAGAGCTGGCACTATGGATCTGAAATCTCCCTTTTGACCACATGACTATCTTATCTGCTTTGCCCCTACGTGAAGTCTGGCCTTTAGGTATCTGAGGGTAAACTAACATGAATCCAACAATCACATTAAAATAAATCATTATGAGCAATGATCAAGTTCTCTTTCTCTGTCTATAACCTCCCCTTGCTTTCTGTTATAAGAATGCACGTATTTATGTATACCTATAGAATATATTATTTACATTTCCCTTTTTCTGTAGTTGGAAACAGAAATGATGTATTCTTCTGTAAAAACACAAAAACAAAATAAAGCTCTATGGAAAGCCTTGTCATATACAGATACACACCCCCAGCTGCTCTTGTATCTTTCCACGATTTGGCACAGCTTTTGTGGCTTAAGTCTTGAGGGGTCAACATTGCCTCAATCATATAAATTAAAACATGTATTTTTCAAAAGAGGAACAGTGTGAGAAATAAAGTATCTTGACCTGGCAATAAAATGTTGAGTTTCCTACTTACGGCACTGCTATTACCAAAGTCTCTTTCATGTGAGGAGACCTGTAAGCACTAAAACTGGTTGTGTCTGTAATAAAAGCACCATCTCTGAGCAGCATAACTTTATTAAGACTTTTCTGCACAGATGAAAACACTCCTCAAGCACAGAATTAGTTACAGCTGTAACACTAGAGGTGCCATATATGACAGCAATGTTGTCTTTCAGATAATTCTGAGAAGCAGTTTTATCACAATTATCGTAATTAATATCAATGAAGTGTTTTATAGTGCACAAAACTCTTTCACACAAAACATCCTATTTACTCCTTACAATAATCCTGTTAACTTTCAGGATAGGCCTTCTTTCTTATTTTCATTTGTTCTAAGTTGAGGCTTTCAAAGTGTATAAATCAATTGCCCAAAGATTAGCTAGCAAATGGCAGGGGTGGGATTGGAACTTGTGCTTCTTGATATTCTTCGTATAGCACACATCACTGAGGCATAAAACTTGAAAGTAAAGTATCTAGGGATATTCCAATTCTAGGAGAGAAAATACAGGCACTGCGAGTGATGACAGTGCTTGTTACAGAGATGAGGAATGATCAGCCCCCAAAACTGTTATTATATCCCACATGTTTCTCTCTCTCTCTCTCTCTCTCACACACACACACACACACACACACACACACAATCTGATAAGAAAAGTTCAAGCTGCTTGTCTGATTTGGATCAGAAATGTTGACAGAACAATCAACATAAAGTGTCTGAGTTATGATTATTGCTGCGATGTCGTCATTGACTTCATTAAAAATCAGAGACAAAGTGTCACCAGCACACACGTACAACCTGAACTGATTGGCCCCACTGGGTTTTTATGCACACAATTCTTAAAACATTTCCCAGTGAGCAACTGCGAAAGGCTGAATGGTTGTTGCTGATGTGGGTACAGATGCAAGGGGGGACCCTTGCCTCTCCATTCAAGCACGCCTCATTCCTCCAGCACACAATGCTGATGCAATTCCTTTCCCAGGCTTTCTTTTATTTTTTAACACTAATACAGTGGGAAAAAGTTTCTGCCACAGCAAGGCAAAGTCCAGGCTTTTGTGAACATGTCCTTTTCATCCAATGGGCATTAATGTATAGATTCCAATGGAATAAATCTGAAATACTCTACTGTAGAAGATTTGTCCCCATTGAAAACAAACCTTGATTAGATGGTTATTCAGGGAGTGTATAGGAAGGAATGGTGTGAAAATGCTAACTCCATTCTTTCCTAGATTGGCACTGAATAGGCATTTGGGCTATTCAAAAAAAAAGTACTAACACCAACCTTCTCTACAAAACCATGCAATTTTACATAGATTACGTGTATTTGAGGATGCCTTCACACTCAAAAGACCCCCACAGTTGTGTGAACGTAGAATTTATGGCAAATGAAAAAGTAATAACAAAAACAGTTCTCTCTGTAGTTAAAATAATAACCTATCTCCCCTTTCCCCATAGTGAAAACAGTCAGTCTGTGATGCATTCACTAGAAGCAGGCAGAGCTACATTACCGGCAGTGATCCTGTATTCTAAGGGGCGGTGAGCACAACATGGAAGGGGCTGAAGCAGGCTGTCCATTAGGGAGAAATGTGTGGTAAAAGGGTAGAAGGCGGCCTGGCTCCCTGTTTTACACAGACTCTCCTTAGGCTTCTCCCTTAAGCTGCAGGGGGTCCAGGGAGAGGACTTAGCATGAGAATAAAAAGCTGCCTGCTCACAAGAGAAAATGAACAAGAAAGGAAACAGCAGGCAATACAATCTCTTTTAATTAGGTGTGAAATCCAGTGCTTTCTCAGTAGAGAGAGCAAAACGATATATAAAATGAGACTAGTGCAAGGTGAAGGTTCTGGAGGAGGGGATGGGAATTTGAAGCCTCTTTGGCATGAGAGGAAACAGCAGCTCTCAAATGAAAACTAACAGAAATTTTGGTGAAATCAGCAAGTCTAAGTCAAATGGCATGGCCCAAAGTCCCATGAGCATCCAATCTGGGGCACTAGGTTCAGATGAGGTAAGTGGGTCAGCACAGGAAACAGGATAGTGGGGACTAGGTCTCCACAACCCAGCCTCTTACATCGTACTTTGTCTCCCTATTGTATCTTGGTCTCATTAGTAAGCTGAGATCAAGTTTTCATACATCAGAAGGTGAACAATCGTCTTACATTATTATATGTTGGTTTCGCTTGCCCATGCAGCCATGCTAGGAAAGACCTAGATGCTTCAACAGAAAGCAGGAGTGTAGTTTGATAACCTCAGCTCCCATATTTCCCAAGGCCCCTGCCTGGGGTAAGCTCTTGCATTTCACTTCTAAGCCAAGGGGGCTGTGCTGAGTCCCTGCACTCCAGGTGGTTAGAAATTTGCTGCTCAACAGTTGCACCACCTGGAGCAAAAGACCCCCACCAATGGAATGTGCCTGGGAGAACTGAGGAAGGCATCTGTGCAATTGGAACCTGGCCAGGAGAGTTATTTCTTTCTCTTGCTCTGACTGCTGACACATACTGAGTCACTGATTTTGGGAAGGGAAACTGCTTACTTAGTTTTACTTATCCATCCCTGGTAAGTATCTTCCAGATTGTTTTAAGCCCAATGTGCAAGAACCGT